GATCTCTTATTCGAAATCAAGAAGAAGAAAAACGTAAAATAAATTATAGAAAGCAGTTTACAAGGATTTTTTGTTAGATTTTTCATTATTTTTTTTTCAAAAAATGAAATGAAAGGAAATGTCAGAAAGCTGTTTATAAACTTATTTTGTTATTAATCGTCTTAACCATTTTTTGGAAAACTTAATGAATGAAAAAAGTAATGTTGCAATTATATTAAAAAAGCATAAACAAAACATTTTAAAAAAATTTTTTTTAATAATTTAACATGTGCTCATTTGAAAATGTACTTGTGATGCCACAATTGACATTGCTTATTTCCTACCATTCAAAATATCTTCAATTACTTAAACTTATTTAATTAATCGAATTATATTTAACTCAAATCAAAGAGTTAATCATTTAAAGCGAACATAAAATATTTTATTCTTTTCTTATTGCTCAATCTAACCGCTAACTTTCTATTTCAATGTTAATGTAGACTCATTAATTCACTGCCGTACAAAAAAAAAATCTATTCAGAACTCTTTATTATTAATTTCTTGCCTCAAATATGTTTCAGTTACACGGTTCTTTTAATTTCCACAGTTTTGTTGGCGACTCGTGATCGCCAAAGTATTTTCAAACCCAACATTGATTATGCGGGGTTCACTTTGCTTTGGCTATGTTATATTTTCATAATTCGCCAATTTTGGATCTCCTATCCATGCTTCTCCTGTGTCGGTTGGGAGCAAATACATTTACTTTCAATTTCAAAATTTGTGGCGACTGGGGGGGAACTTGCGGGCCCTCCCAGTACCGATCGTTGAATATCTTTATTTATTCCTCCTAGCAAAAACTTCTCGAATGTGATATCTTGATCCCTTTAAGGAATTTCTTTTTTATGATTTGTATTTTATATATGGCCATTTTTATTGTTACATTTTTATTGTCTTGCCTAATAAATCAAATTTTAACTTTAACGATTCTTATTAATTCCTGGCGACAATCATTTTACTATATTCATAATTAAGATGTGTTGGTAACGGTCAAAAAATCCATGATGAATATATGCCACTACCACTATATGCTAGTAAAGGCGATCACCGACGCTTTAGTACTGTACTGAAGCAGCATTAGAAAACCAAAAGAAATAAAATAAAAAACTAACAATAAATTAGATTATGTTTTTTTTTTTTTTTTTTTTTTTTTTTTTTTTTNTTTTTTTTTTTTTTTTTTTTTTTTTTTTTTTTTTTTTTTTTTTTTTTTTTTTACAAAAGTTATTGAAGTAAGAAAAAATGATACACAGTTCGAAACATTTAACTCTTATTTCAAATATTTTTATTGGAAATTACCCTATTTCAATGCTTAAAAAAATTTAACGTAAAATATTATAAGAAAACTTTAAACAGAACTTCTTTTAGATATTTCTTTACTTGCAAACTTGGAAAAGTTAAATACAAAAAAAATAAAAATATTTGAAAACAATTTGTAAAGCATTTCTTTTAGATATTTTAATTTCTTAAAAACAGAGTAGAATTTAAAAAAAAGACAAAATTGTTTAAACAACTTTTTTATTATAGCTTTTCTTATTTCAATGCTTGAAAGAAATGGATTTCATAGAAGTTACAAAATCTGTAAGTAAACATTTTTAATGGATATTGCTTTATTTTAAATTAAATTAATTTTTTCATAGTCTTAGCAATACTTCATTAAAATTAGGTGTTATGTTAGGCAGTAAAATTTAGAAGTCGAGAAAATTCTTGTTCTGAATATTTTTTTCCATGTGTGTATTTTCTAGTAAAGAATAAATAAAATATACTGACTTTACGATTTTCGTTGAAATGGAAACAAAAAAAACTCTTATAATTATTGAGAATGGTTATTAGGGAAACAAACATCTTTATTGTTGAATTTGAATGGAAAAGTTTGTTATGAATAATTCAAATTATTATTCAATGTTATTCAAAAAAGAAAAAAACTTTGTCTATAGCATTTATTTTTTTTACTGACATTTTGCTGGAATAATTTCGTAAAAATAACCGAAATATTAAATATATAATAATTAATCATAAATATATAAATATGCAATTATAAATTTCAAAAATTTTAATTTCGTTTTATTCACCCGATTCTTTTTCACCCTTTCATGGAACCCTGAGATTTTGTGGGACACCTTAAGGGAAAGTCTGGTCTAACAAAACTCTCTAACAATAACCTAAATATTTTTAAGGATGAAGGGAATATAAATTATTTCCATTTAAGTGTAACATATTTTAAGTCTTTCTAAATCAATATGTTAATTACTCATGAAATTTTATAATATTTTGTGCAATAGTTGTAAATGTGTGCTTCGGAAAATCCTTTTATGCCTCTGCATTATAGCTGACATTTAATAGTGATGTCTCCAACTGCTTTATAAAAACCAGTTTGGCTTAATAATCAGGAACATATTTTTTACGATAAATGTGAAAAACATGATTCTGTATCTAAAGAAGCATATTTAAAAGCGTTTTCATTTTATTTATTGTATTTTAGCTCAGTTTTTAAATCCAAAATTACATATTTATCACCTTTATTAAAAAAAAAATCACTGTTAGGATTATTAATTTCAAACTGCGTAGTTGGCTTTCGCAATTTCTTCTGAAAAAATATATACACTTTTATCGGACTATTTTCATACTGCGTTATTTATCAAAAATTCAGTCAATTGCCATCGTTTTTTTTCTTCTTTGCAGCTTATTAGGTTTTGTATAATTAAAGGTACTTAAATATTTCCAACAAATTACGTCTAAGAAATTGGTCTTATTAGATTGGGAAAATGTCCAATGTCTTAAGTGAAGGAAATGATAAATTTTTCCATTTTCAAAAACATCTCTTAAATTTTTAATTTTCCCCAAAATTTGTAATTTTTCCATTAAATTTTTCCTTAATTTTTTGAAAAAGATACAGAAATAAATTAAGAAAAATATAAACAAATATCAATAAGATCGAAACCCGATAAATCAAATTTCCCTCTTCTTATAATTCAGCCTATTTAAATTTTTTTCCTTTTTTTAAATAAAGACTGCCGTTTAAAATTACGGAATCAACTGGGCATCAAAAGACTGAAATAAATTTAAACATCATTTAACCTGCTCTTCAAATATTAGAATTGCCCTCACGTTTACAGACATAAAGTAAAGCCCCGTTTCCTGTTTCGGTTCGCAATGTGGACAAAATGAGGTAAAATATTATCCCTGGTATGAGAGCATCTAAGTAAAATAAACTCCTACTCTGGGTTTTCCAGCTGTCAGAGAAATATCTTATACGCATGTGTATTTGGTGAATTTATCTCACTGAAACATTGCGTGAGTAAAATTTAAAGGGAGAGTTTGTGCAATATATAGTAATTCTTTAAGGCCACTTCCCTTGTTCAATAAAATATTACCGAGGAAAATAAATTCTTTAAATAAAAATATATTTCCCCTTCAGATGTATTGTTTCAATAGGCTTCCTTTATTTCCTTTCTTGACAATATTCATTAAAATATGTTTCATGATTGTGAAACACGTTATTAAACAGTTCATCGGAAATATTTCTACTCCTAATTACTGTTAATGAGTTGATCTAATTAAGTTTTTTTATTTTATTTATAAATCTTTACTTTGGATCTGTATTGGTCATAAAAATGTATATTAAATATTAGTTTAAGTTTGATGCATAGTGTCGGTAAGTTGAATTATAATACAGAACGATCAGTCCACTATAATACGATACGATCAGATATATCCACTATAATACGATACGATACAGTATAATACGATCAGTCCACTGCGGGACGAAAGAGAGGTTGAAGAATTAGAAACAGAATAGTACTGTGCATTCAGCTTGGTTACGATTAAAGTTTACATGTTGTACAAGGTAATTTTAAAAAGTGACCAAGCTGCAGGTAGTATAAAATAATTCTGTAGGTCATTTCTCCTTCACAATGAAGTATTACTAAGGTAAAGAAATCGTTCAAATAAATTTATATTTCCACTCATCAGTATTATTTCAACCCACTTCATTTATTTCTCTATCTAGTAGTATTTTCGCAAAACACTTAATTAGATAATGCAACAGAAATATAATTTTATTGCTTGTGATATTAAATATATTTTTCTAGTCAGGGTATACGATTTATAAATCTAGGCTTTTAATATCAAGTAGTTCGAAAATAACTGTAGAAACGTTCAGACATAGTATCAATTACTTGACCTTTAGTACTATGTTAATTCTATAACTTCAATAAAATAAAAAAAAATTTCTATGATTCCGTATCAGTTTAACAAAAGTAAAAACTCGATGATATGGTTCAGTTAAAATTGCAGTGAACTTCAACTTTATTATAGTTCAAAAAGCTCCAGTGCAGATGCATTGTTCTTTTTCTTAATTTGCTTTTAGATAAAATACTTATACTGTACCTTATACTTTTCCTCAGCAAATTGCACTAAACAATTTATTTTCATTCGTATTATTGCTGCACTGAAGAGCGAATACACCGTGGAACTAATTTTTCATTGCATTTATACAAGCTTAATTCGGATGGGGAGATTTTCGAATCTGTTCCGATAGCTACCATTTTTTAAATGATATTTTTAGTTCATTTTCTGCCAAATGTACAACTTTATAAACATTATATGTAATTAGGGGTCGCGTAAATGTGGAGACAAACTTCTGGGAGATTTAAAGAACATTATCAGGATAAAAATTGCATAGAAACTCATGCCCGGAAATGTCATCGTACGCGTCTAGGAATGCTTCTCTATTATGACCTGTTTCAGAAGCTCAAGAAGAAGCAGTTCATAATAGGGACGCACCCTTAACGGTGGTTGATGACATTTCTGGGCATGGGTGAATATGCAGTTTTAATTCTAATGATGTACCCTAAATCCCCCAGAAGTTGGTTTTTAAGTTGGAGGCAAAATAATAAATAAATAAAAAACTGATAAAAACATGAATTTTATTTAAAAATTTCAAAAACAAACTATTTAAAATAACATTTCTTGCTCTCAGAATTTCAAATTTCTCTCTTCTTCGCGCCGAAATCACTCCTTCGAATTTTTGTTTATCCTCAACAAAGCAGAAGAGTTCTTTTCATGAAACCATGCCTAAAATAAAACATAGAACATAAAAATTAAAACGGGGAATGAAGACTTTTCTTTCAGGAAAAACACTAAAGTATAGAAAGACATATTGGCAAATTGTAACACATTAAATAGTTTAATTCAGCTGTGGGCATCTGAAATCTTAAGCATTTACTGAGGGTACTAAGTGCTTTGAAATTTGCCCCATGTGTTCTCCTGAGCAGGTTTCATCATATAATATTTTTGCATACTTGGTGCGAGCAGTAGCATGCAGGTAATAGCCACCCATTGCTGGTTTTGGATTTTTTAGGATGCATAAAGTTATGTGCCTGATTTAGCCCTGCTTGTCTTTGCAAATGAGCAACAACAACTCAGTTAAAATGTGTGAAAGTTATAAGAATAAGATACTACTTCTAAAGTTTTCAAAACAAAATTTCTAAAATTTTAACAAACAATTCCGAGAGTTTAAAAAATGCTCCAAAAAACTGAACAATAAAGCCTTAATGAAGCAAAGAAGTCCAGGCATGCAAAAAATGATATATCATCATAATGCTCGTCTTATTTATTAAATATGATGTAGTAAAAAAATAGTATACATGGGATAAATGGGATAAAAAAAATAGTATACAATTCAATGAGCAGGTAATCCAATATTAGCGATAGAAGAAACTTTGGTGCATGATACGAAGCGTATGCAGTAAAGGATTACATATTTATCAAATGAACCAATATACTATAACAATTTTCTTTTATTAATTTCTTTTATTTTCGAATAATAAGCGCCTTTATTATTTATAAGACTGGCACAATATGACCACCATTCTAATGCTGCTTGGCGAATTTTAGTACTATTTTTGGAGATTGCTAAAACACGCTTTTAACTATTACATTCTGCCTAGCATATTATGAGTTATAGATCACTAAAGATTCACGTTTTTAAATCTTGTACTCAGTTATGTGATTTTTAAATACCAAACCTAACTAAAATTCTATAGTTTCCAAAAAAAGTTTAAAAAGAAACTTTTATATTCAGATTATACATGTGATCGAAAGAAATTCATAAAAAAATAAAATTATTTTTAAACTTACAACCACTGTTGAAACATGACCAGTTGTTGATTTCAACTAACTTTCGCTTTTATTTTTGTCTGTTTCTTGATTAAGATTTTTCAAAAAAGAATTCCTGTAAAAAAATTTGCAATGATAAGGATTTTGCGAAAAATGTTTTAAATAAAATAAGTTAAAATGATAGAGTAGAGTAATAACAAGACAGTTTCACCAGCCGTACAAGTATTGCAAACATTGACTTTCGAAAATTAGAATTGCGCAACCTGTTAATAACGTTTGCAGCTTTATTTCATGTTCTTAATTTAGTTGACAGTTGATAGCATTTAGAGTTTAATTAGTTAATGTGAAATAGTTAATCAGTGTATAGTAGAACTGATACGTTCACTCTTATCAAACAAAATTCGTGAGCTATAAAAGAAGAAAAAAAAACTTAATACATTCAAATTTTATACACATGCGTTATTAATTGAATTTTTAAATTGAAGCTCGGTAAGAGAGTTCGTTAATATAAGATTTCGGTAATTTCAGATAAACGAAATTTACGTATTCTAAATATTATCGTCCATAGTTAGAAATTTTAGAGGATATTTAAAAAATAATTTCATTCAAATGTGTTGCTAAATTTAATCTGGTGCTATTTTTTGCATTTTTTAAACATAATCGCACAATACTATGGTCAAACTTGAACTGAAATTCAAAACATTATCATAGTTCAAACTTGCACCGTACATTAAAGCTGTCAATAAAACCCTTCTAAGCTGAATTAATTTTCTTGAGAGTGTAATAATTTTAAGAAAAAAAATTCGTACAACAATAACAATATGACTTAATCAAATGATAGCGATTAAAACATTCAAAATGCGTAAGAAACGTAATTAGGATTCGTTAAATGGCTTTTTCAGTTTCAATGGATTTTTTGAAGTTGTTTTATTAATTTTGTATGAATAATAGCAATTTATGGAATATAAAACCTAAATTAGCCCTTTTATTGTCCTAGCATTAACAACGTTTAACAGTATCCAGCAACATCCTTACATTTTCAGTTTAATACCAACGACACCAACTGCATCGCGTAATGAGCAATCCTCTACTGAGGCAGCAACAACATGCCCGCCTGGGGAATGACCTATGTCATACAGCCATCTGAAGGGCAGACTTGTTGGCCACTCTTTCAGGGGCACCTTATTAGGTGGGCCAAGGCTGCTCCCACAGTAAGGACAGATAGTACAGAGAATGAAAGAACATCCATGCCTTACCCGCGATTCGAACCCAGAACCTTTCTGAAGCAAGGCCGGTTCCCTGCCCCTATACAGGCCGGCCGGCTATGTGGAATATTAACACGTGGCGTTTTATAGCACTTGAGTCATTCGATGTTCAATGTGGCTTCGTCAGACGTTTACTAGATGGATCTGTGTATCCATGCATTGTGTAGTGTATGGTAAAGTCATCCTTCAGAAGTAAACCTATAATAGCATTTTACACAGATAGATGGTGTTCGGTTGTGTTTAAAAATGATGAAAGTGAGGTCATGTAAGTAACGCCAGAAATTGTTTGGGGCCCGATCAAAACAGTCTACCATCCAATCGCATTCGTAAATTGTATTATGCGTTATGCGTCGTTTAAATATTAAATTAATGGCTGACTAACTAATTGAACACTACACGTCTTCCCCCAAAACATAGAGTAACATGAAACGGTTTACTCCATAGTTAAATTTTCCCGTAAGCGATTATAAGATTTATTATGATGATAAAATTATATTAAAACTTATAAACTTATTTTTATGAACGAAAGTATGAGTAACGTTAAAAATATGTGCATGCTTGTTATTATATTAATAAATACTTACGAAAAACATTTAAATGTGGTGTTACTGCTTTGTTGCTTATCTCAATCTGGGCCTTTTTAATTCACCTCTGTCATCCTTCATTTTCAGATGTTTTGACATAACATTCCATTCTTTGGGGTTTTCTGTACGGCTTAAGTAGAGAAAAATGTTGCATATTTTGGATTTCAAATGATGATAAAATGATGCTCCGAAGTTCTCCGGCTTTCTTCGAGTGATAATCGATATCGTCACCGCTCTATCACTGGTATTACAACTTCTATACCCTATGAAAATATATAAAAAATAATTCATTTCGTTTAAATCTTAATTCATTTTTACCATGTCATTTTAATGATTAGGTCGATTTAACTTTACTAAGTGAGTTTTAAGGAGTTTTTTTCTTATTCGAATTTCTGTTTTTATTGTTTACATTTGCTTTCATTTTCTTACGATTAAGAGTTTACTAAAATATTTATAAGTCTAATAATAAAATATTTACAGATATCGATTATCTTTAATATGTTTCTCAATATTTTAATTTATATTCAATGAAGTTTGCTTGAGAGATCAGACATAGAAAATTAGTATATTTTATTAACGGACATTGGGATACAAAAGGCAGAAAAAAATTGCTTAACGATTTTTTAAGAAAATATTTAATTTTCGTGTCGTAAGATTGAAAAATTAGCCCTCTCGCTTATATGCACCAATCTGCAAGGAACTACGCAGCTTATTTAGGTGGATCTAGTTGGTGCGATACAATTCCAGTTGTTTAATCGTATTAAGAGGAAGCAATTAATAAACGGTTATTCTCACAGTTAACAGTTGAATACCTTCTTATTTATGGTTATTTGACTATTTTGTTAGTATATGGTAAAAGAACAACTAAATAAAATGTTATTTAAATAATTTTTCAAAGAAACTTCTAACATTGTAACAATATTTTAAGTTTAATATCTTTCACCGATTTTTTTCTGTTCAGATATCTCAAAATACGCTACTATACATAACGTTTAGTTTGCTTAATCTCTTGCAATGGCGAAACAATCATCATAGCATAAGAAAAATATTTTTTTTTTTAAAAATGCTTTATCACTGAGAAAAAATCTATGTTTAAATCTACCAGAATATAGCAAAATTTACCAGTGTTTCTGGTTGTATGGAGAAACCAAAAACCTCGGTAATATTTACCGAAGAGCTTTTGTAATAATTTTGGTTTGATTAATTATATATTATGGTTTTATGACAAAGGATAAAGTTTTGTTAATATTGCAGGTTTTTTTTAATTTTATCATTATCTTAGATCATAACACAAAAAACATTTATTCGGTTAAATTTAAATTTCAGTTTTGTATTTTTTTATTAAATGCGTGGTAATAGGAACTGTAATTTAGAAAAACAGAATTTCCGGTGAACCATTACCACATGAACAGAAAACTTACCTAATGAATAGTTTAAGTACCGTATATTTTGGTGCAGATTACCAAAATTATGCTTATTTATTATTATTTTTTACACTATTATACAGTACGTTAATTTCGACGTGTAAAATTTCTTCACATAGTTTTGGCTTATTTAGTTAGTATTTACTTTAAAGAATTCAATTTTCTTAATATTGACAAAGCATTCAGCTTAAAACAATGTATAAGATGTAATTTTAATACTAAATCTGGAATGTTATCATCTCAGACAGAAGTCTTTCGAAAGTCTCGTGAAATGTAATTAAATTTAATACCTCTTCATTTAAAACATGAGCTTTGCACAAAACAGTTTCGAAAGATGAAGGTTTTCCATCCATTAGACTTTCATAGAGACATTCGGATGCAGATTTTGGAGTTAAATGGACGTATTCTATGAATAAAAAAAATACTTATAATTATTATAAAGTTGCAACCAATGGCAATTCTTTTAAACAACAAGCAGCATTTTGAAATAACATGCATGCTGTTCTCTTATAATCAGAATCACTATTCAAATAGAATAAAAAAATTTAAAATGCATGCATACATGTTAAAATAGAATCGACAAGAGCTTTTCAATGCATAGTTATAACCTAAATATGCATTAAGGCAAATATATATTTAACTATAAGCTTATGTTTGTTGAAGCAAATTTGAATTCAAATCAGTTTACAGGACTTATTAATATTTTCAAGATTCTAGATATCAATTTTGAGTTCAGGTTATCATATAACGTTATGATTTATTTGAGATTAAAATATCTTTTCTTTAAATAACAATGTCATATTACATGTTGGATTCGCATACCAAAATCCAGGGAGATATTACTCACTGTAACTTAATAAAAAATGCTCTGTAAATATTAGTTTAAAATTTAAAGAAATTCTTCAGAAGTTATAGTTGGAATACATTTAAAATATACTTTATTAATATTCCTGCAAGACCGAATTGACAATGCCAACTTGTAGCGTATTTGCATATTCAGATGACAATACCAATTAGATCCATTTTTGCCAGATCTAAATCTTGTAAATGATATAAAAAATCATATTGAAGTTATCTCATAGTTAATAATTACAGTTATTTTCCGAGACTCGTAATACTTTTTCTTGGTTTTTACATAATGTTTTACAAGTGCTAAATGATGTGTGATGTAGATGCTAATAACATATGCTATAGTTGCAAATAAGTACCGGTATTAACTGCTAAATTACTTTTCTCAAATAAAACGTAGAACTAAACATTTTTACGAACAATTTTTGTTTATGTTTTAATTCATTGTCAAAATTTATACATTAGAGTTCACAAATTATTTAAGAGAGGAATTACCAAGGGTATTATTTAATCAATCAAATAGTTTGTACAGAAAGCAAAGTAAGAAGTATAAAAACCGGTTTAATTATCTACTGTAACTAACATGTGTTTTAAATCATTGTTTTCTAATTTTCTCCTCTAATAAACTGGTTGTGAAGCTTTCATTTTTGTCTTACTAAGTTGTGATTTGCTAAATTCTGATAATGTTTCAACTTTTCGTCCTCTTTAATAATTATTCAAAAAAACTTTAAAATTGCTTAATGCGAAGGTAGTTTTAATAATTCTAATGCTACCCTCGAGTCTGTTATTCAAATGAAGCATGCATTACATCATTATAATAAAAAAAGTTAAATTTTAAATGCAAATAGATCTAATCAATATCATTGAACGAAAGGGAAAAAATACATTCATTGGAAGTTTTAAATTTCCTGTTTTTAGATGAAACTCTACCATAATACTTTTTTTACTTTTTAGATTGCAATTAAAATAATTGAATTCAAATGATAGAATTCAAATTCTTTAGCAATGAAAGGAGAAAAAAGGAAGAAAAGTCTAAGAGAATTTTAATGCAAGAAAAATATCAAAGGGACAAGTAAAGGGATGAAACAAACCAAAACGGGAAAATAACTGAAACATTATATAATGATGGTTTCCGAAAAAATGTACGATATATATATTTTAACAACCAACATTGAATAGGCGTATTCAGACGTCTTTCTTTATCTTATTAATCATGGTAATGGAAGAGAAACGGATTGTTTCACTGTTGCACAGTATAATGTATTTAAAGTTTCAGAAAAAAAATTGGCATCATGCCTGTTAAATGGAATTATTCATTAGGGTGTCTTTAAAGGTTTTCTTTTACAAAATATAAACAAGCAAAGTAAGTTCAGATTTTATGTATATTGAATTACACTGCGAAGAGTTTTCAAATTTATAGGAAAAAGTAGTTTGCTTCTGGTTTTATAATGAATGTTAGCTTCCTCTGCAGATTCAGTCACTTTTTATTTGTATCAAAAGATTTTGTATTTATAAGAACAATAAATTAGGCATACATTATTTGTAACTGCTTCGGGTAATTATCTTCATATTTCTATAATGAAAAAAAAACCTCATTAAAATTTTATATANTTCTAAATACTATATATATATATATATAAAAGTTTTTATATATATTTCTATATATATATAAATAACAGGAAAAAAAACATTAAAGGTGACTTGAACCGTCACCTTTCGGAAAATTTTTGAACTAAAACCAGGGACTATGGGCATAGCGGAAAAAAAGTAATATGCCTTGCAGATAAATTTGCTACAAAGATTATTATTTTAGTTTTTGTCTTGCTTTACCTCTTTTACAGGAATAAATTTTTAAAAAAATGCCAGACTTATTTAAGGTAACCTTTTTATCGATTCCCTAATATTGCTTGCTTCTTTATCATTTGTTTACCTGTTGTTACTTCTCTGGTATGATATACATAAGGATTACCGTCTTCAAAAGCAGGTTTGGGTGGCTTTGGATTCCTGAAAAGTCAGAATTACTTCACATTAATGACTCAGAGACGCATACATACGATAAATGAAAAAAAAAATTATTGTAATTTCTGACCTCCTGCTTAGCAGCAGAACAAAGTTGCTAATACGCTAATTTTACAATAGGATAAAATTAACTTGTATGAATATTTCAAACAAAATCAAAAATATTTTATGTAAATAATAACAAAAACAAATTAGAATTTAAAAATGGTTAGTACGTAAAACTAACGGAGCTAATTTGCTAATACAATTTAAATGACGTCAATTTCAACAGAAAGTAGCAAAACTCTTTTTATTATATCAGGATTTTCCCAAGCGATGGATTTAACTGGGCCATTCAATATTCAACATAGAATATCAATGAACAATATGGAGGATAACTAGCTGTTGGTATTGATAATAGGAAAAGTGAAACTAAAACTGTAGCATTTGCTTACGCAGTAGTGTCTGCTTTCGAAAGAATTTATCTCGGGGAAATCCATGTTCATTCAAAACAATCTTCATCACATAATAAGTGTCAAACATTAGAAATTCAGTTAAACATCATTCAACCGAATACCCAACAGAGAATAGTAATGAGCAATTTGGTGAATAACTGCTAGCTGTTGGTATCATTGATCATCAGAATATACATATATTTGTTTCATATTTTTTTACCTAATGTATTTTTAAAATTATTTTGTACGATTTAAGCTATAAGCACTGTTTTTTATTCTTCTCTTCTTCGCGAAATTTTGTTAACTTTTAAAGTAGTATATCTATCTCTAAGACATTTTTAACTTTTGCCACACGCCGGTAAGTTTGTTTTCTACTTTCTTTTATTTCACACTCATTTTCAAATGCATTTTTACCGATATAGAAGCATTATAAAGAGTAGTTTTCATCTTAGGATAATTATTTTTTATTCAGAAATATCGCATTTATTATAAAGGATGTGTCCTGATGAAGACCTTTACATTTTCCCATTAAAAGTTTTAATATTTTATTTTATTGTTCGTCTTTGTGTTTATATAATAGAACATATATATATATATATATATTCCAAAACTACAGGAAAAGGCGTCATATCAGTGTAATGACTATGCGTCAAACATTAAAAACTAAATTAACTATTTTATATCACTCATCTATAGAGCAACAAACACTGTTCAGATATTGATAAAAGAGAAATATGACCATTTCGCAAGCTTTATAAAAATAGACATTATTGCAGATTCATAATAAGACCGCAATCCTTTGTTGTCTTAATATTTTGCTAATGATGAATTAGAAATTATAAAATAATATATCATAATTAAATTCACTATGAAAAAGTATTGTAACTTTTGGCATTTTGCGTGTTATATTATAACTAATATTACTTTTAAAATTGTTTATTCACTTTCTACTACTAGTTAACACTCTCCCTATATCTTGTTCAGATTTTCAATCGTTAATAAGATACCTTTAATTCACATCCACTCAAATTCAAATTTTTGTGAACTTGTGGTGGATGACACTTGATGTTAATACAGCTTTTTTCAACTATAAATTCATCAATTAAATAGCGATGAGCTAGAAACGAAATTGAATTTTTTGCTTGATTAAGCGTTTTAGTCATTGTTTTAAATTTAACAATAAGCTATTCAGTTTTTTACATATTTTAAAAATAACAGTGATAATTTCTAACTTATAGCTCTATTTGAACAACAAATTAGTTTATTGTGCACATTTAAATATTTAATTATTTTAAATTCGCTGTGTCAGATAAATTACGTGAATGTTATGTTTAATACTGTTTTTTTCCAAATATTATTCCATTAATTAAATTTATAATTTAATTAATATTAAATTAATGAGGAAAAACTGTAATTACTTAATACAATGTAACTAAAATTAAAAATTTATTTGATAATCTAAGTAGGAATTGACTTTAATTTTCTTTTTTATATTACTTGTTTTAAATGTAATATTAGTGTATTTAAATGTAATATTTAGTAGCTGAAACTTTTAGTTTTTATTTATCACTATCGGGTACTAGTTATTTTGTAATTTTAGCTGTATTGTCCGTGATTATTTTTTACCACTATATATGCTGATCATTAGTTATTTTTTACCTCTAGTTGGTCACTGGTAATATTTTTTATCACTAATTAAATCCGGGTAGACTATACTTGAGGGTGCCCCCGCCAAGTTGTGATCGCGATTGATCGCCAAGCTGGGCGATGTTGAAAACCAATCGTGATTCTGATTGGTTTAGATTTTAATCGTGATTCTGATTAGTTTAGAATTTAGCGTTGTTTTTAAATGAATTTTTAAATGTAATTTCAGAGATCCGTTAGTTCTACTTTCGATACCGGCTGGTAAGGTTATTTTTGCTTCTGGTACTAAAAATGAATGCTTTCAATAAGATAAATCTTAAGCTTCTGTACGATTTTAATAACAATGAAAAAAAAAACAGTGATTGACTGGTGTATGAATGAAGGCTTAATTAGTAATAGATATAAATGTTCTGTTTGTGGGTTACCACGGCGTTCCGGGCAAACAAGTATGGCGCCAAACATAAGTCACTAATTTCGCCAAGGGGCACCCTCAAGTATATTTTTCCCATGAATCCATTATCGGTTATTTCGTACTGCCATTAATACAGTCTACTAGTTATTTTATACCTACAATTTAAGTTGGTTATTAATTATTTTTGTATTGCTAATAAAGTCGACATTGATAATTATTTTTATCTATATTCATATTGCTAGTTGCTCGATAAGGGTATTTTTTCACTTCTAGTAGCCTGTTATTTTTTTAAGTTAATGATTTGTTGATCACTGGTTATTTGTTTGCTATTTTTATGGTGACTATTAGTTTTTAAATGACCAATAGTTGCCAATTAAATCTAAAACAAAACTTGGTACTCAAAACATTTTTCAATAATTTTAAATTTAATATTTATTAAAAATATTTTTTGCCATCCTTTATGAAAGTTAAAACTGCCAAACAATACGTAAAATCTATTTGAAGCTTATTTTAAAAGAGATTGCAAATCACGAAGTTTATGAAAAAGTAATAATGTAAGCCAGTCAATTAAATTGGTTCGGGGAAATACTTTTTTCAAGATTAATGACGCAGAAAAGATGAAGCCTTATCGATATTCTTTCAAAGGCTGAAGAAAAATATATGTAATTGCCATCTGATTTTTTTTTCTCCGAGGAATTGGAAAATTGCCATTATTTTTGTATTTTATTTTTAATTTAAACTCCTAGATTTATCTTCTTTATACTTCGAATGAAGTGAATAAAGAAATTTAAATAATTACATTTTCTCTTTTTGTTGCTGTGAGATATACCATTGCCATATTTAATTTGTTAAAAACTTGAAATTTCAGCTTATGTAAGGCTAAATAATAGCTTATAAAACTATGCGAGGTACATTAAATTTAATTAAAAGATATCAATTTTGCCGAAAATCGGAATAACGAAACAAAATTTTAGACAATTTTCCATTAAACGAAAGAAGAATATCATTATATTTCCCAAATTTTAGTCATGCATTGTATTCTTTTATGTTTATCTCTATGTTAATACGTATTTTAATGATAGAAAATAATATAATAGGACATAAAAAATCATTTATAATGCATGTTTAGTTTCTAGCACACATTTTTAAATATTAATTAAGAAATTTAATGTGCTTCATTTAGTATTCAAAAAATCCAACTTGATGATAAATATAAACGAACGTGTATTCAAAAATAATTAAAAACTATGTGCTTCTGAGGGCAATTTTATAATATATTTTAAAAGATATAAGCCACTGATTTTTTTTTTCATTTTTATTACATTTTTAAAAAATATTGTTTATGTTATTTACTTAGTGCTGATTCATAGTGCTGATTTCGGAATACTAATATTAATGGAATATTTAACAATACCAGTAAGTTATGGATAAAAAAATATTTGACTCACTTCTCAATCATTTCCTGCCCAGTACTTTGCACTAAAATAAGAAAAGCATGTATTTTCTTCATCTAAACTTCCAAACAAATAAAATCAAGTTTTGATAAATGTAAAAACATTACACAATGCTAACTAAGGGAGGACCATACAAAACGCTAATAGATTTCAAGGAAGATGGTGTTAACATCCGTAATATCATGATAAGAAAAATAATTTTTCTTGAAATAAAAAGTTCTTTCTTTTGCATTATGTTTACAAAAAAAGTGAAAAATATTGAGAATTGTGGGTAAAAAGTAAATGAGATAATTGAGTAATTTTATATAACGGTGAAAAGTTCTTGTAAAAAATCATTTTTGTCCACGATTTGAGATGGGAGGTTCAAATTAATCTAAAAATTATGACATAAATTATAAATAATATTGTAGAGATAATTTCATCGAAATGATTCCTAAAATTATTTAAATCATTTTCAATACATTACTCTACGATCTAGGGAAGAAATTATCTGTTTTCTTGAAAGATACGTTTTTTTTTCAGTATATTAAATAATATTTGTCAAAAATTATTATGTCTAATAATTAATAAGAAATGCATTAAATCTTTAGAATTTATTATCTCCAATGATATTTTAAAATTATTATAAATTTATAATATAATTTTAAAAAAAACCTGCGTTTTGCTATAATTTTAATACTGAAATGTATGTACTCATACCTTCTCTCGAAACATTCCTGGTTTTATTTCTAAACACGGCTACTACAGCAGCTATGGCGAGAAGTGCTAAGGTTCCTAAAGCAGCCAACGACACCAAAAGAACTGCACTTATGATGCTTTTATTTTCGTCTTCTGTAAGAAAATTATAACAATGAATTAATCGGAATTTTTAACAATGTATATCATACGCATGAAAATAATTTCTTTCTATTATTTTGATTTTGAATTTTTTAGAATTACAATTATATTTTGAAAAAAAGTATTAATTTCGGATTATTCAATGGGAGAGATATAAGTTCCTTTAACCACAAAAAAAAATTTATATTTAAAAAAGATAAGTAAGTATATAAAAATAACATGTAATACTAAATAAATAATATTAACGAAAACAGTTTTAATGTAAGAAACTGTTTTAAAACGACATTAGTTCCTCACCGCCTCTCCATAGCGCGAAGAAACACATTTTACCCTGCGCCTCTCGGCTTCTGTGGTATCTCTTTTTCTATTTTCATCATTTTTCTGTGTTGGTTTTTCCAGTTTTGTTTCACCTCTTTTTTTTTGCATTTTTCGTAGGCAATTTTACTTTTTTTTTTATTTCAAACCACCTTTGTTTCTTTTGATTCACGTCTGGCTAGTCTTGAAAATGGGTGCCTATTTTTAAGCGCTTGAAACATGTCGACTGTTATTTTCTTTTTCTATTTATATATTTTTAAATCGAATGAAGTTTTCAATCAGGTAATGCCAAATTTATTTTATTTTCATGCTATGCGAAATAAGGTTTCATAAATGCATATCCTTTTCATTATTCATTTATTATATTGTTGTTCGAAAATACATTGTTTTGACCATTCTAATTTCACAAATATTTTTATTAAATAACTTCATATTAGTAAAGGAACTATTAAATAAAAATTTTACAGTTAATTTAATATCAGTTTAATTAATTTCTTTTTTTTTGAAAATTATAAATGGTTTAAAAAAAGTCCTCAGTCTCGGAACTCACGTGACCTTTCCACAGAACAAACATGGATTCCGCTGAGCACCACTGCCGGCATAAAGTATGGGACAAACATTTTCAACTGCTAAAAATAAGTTTAAGATTTACCGTTATAAAATTTAAAAAAATAAATCAATCTAAACTTTCATTTTAATCAACATCATATTTTTTTAACATTCCACGAACTATGTGTTAAACACCTATTTACTCTAGGGATCGTAGAATAACCCGGATTTTTTTTTCTTGCAGCAACCTACAAAATACGTGATCTCGGAAAATAAATTTTCTTATGCTCTGTTTGTATTTTTTCTACCACATTCTCGATTTTCTTATCCTTTTTGCGGCTTACATCTGAGCTTCGCTCTACTTTGCATATGCAAATGTGGCTAACATATACTTCTAAATCTCCCTTGCTGTAGTGGCTGTTTTTGTTTACACTCGTTAAAAACTACACTGTCGTATTTTTATTTATTTTTGGGGGAAAAACTGTCAATTTAGAAATGCTCATTTTCTTAAAGATAGAAGAGTGTTAAAAAAAATTATGAAGTGAAAAAATAGTCATGTTATACCTACTAACTGATCTGGAAAACGGCATATTTGCCGACATTCCTTTTGCTTAAATCCTTTAATGGTATATAAACTTAAAAAAAAATTGCTTATTTCAAATAGGAAATGAAGCAAGGAAAGAATTTAGTTTAAAAAAATATAAATCTTGAAAACATTCTATTTGCTGAAATTTCTTTAGCTTAATGATGAAAATTTATTTTTAAAAAAAGACACGTATGTGTAATAGGTTGCGAAATAGGGAAAAATAGAGCTTTAAAATAGATTAAAAAAAATACAAATCACATGAAAAATTTAACAGATTTGAGATAAAGGATGAAAGATCGATTTTATATACAGTTTTAACAAACCAATCTAGATCATACGTGCCATATATATTTCATTTTAGCATTTATAAAGTTACTTGATGAATGTTAATGTTGTCTAAATGTGATTCGAAAAATATTGATGTATCAAAAATTAAGTATCATTTGCCGAAAATAAGGAATCTCTAAAAAAAATTTTATTTCTAATCAGTAATCATCTAAAAGCAATTTCTTAGAAATGAAGTATTATAAAATGTAATTAATTCATGACTCATTATGGTATAATAAAATGAAATGATATTAAAACTTAATAGATATTCCTAAGAGATCTGTATACTAAGTTATATACTTCACAACAAATGTAAAAGTACATTTGTTGCCAAAACTGATCCGTTCTCATTGATGTAACGCAATTTGATGTTAGATGTAATGCAAGAAGTTAAGATGTAACGTACTATGCTTTTCTGGATTCTTTCCCTGCTATTAATTAAGTTACATTTTAATATTAGGATTTTATGGTGCTCTTTCCTTAACAGCACTCCTCTAAAACTACAACTTTAATATGATAAGGCATCACATAGATTATTTTCAAAACAGAAAAAAAAATTAAATAATTCAAGGGATTAGTTAGTATTTTTCATTTTGACGCATTTTCATTTTTTCTAAAGAAAAACTTTTTAAATAACTCAAGGGAATAGTTAGTATTCTTAACTATGAGGCAATTTTTATTTTTTCAAAAGAAAACTTTTTTAAATTATCCGAGGGATTTTTTCATTTTGATCCATTTTATGATACATTTTAAACCAGTTTTCAGAAAAATAGATTTTCAAAACTGATGTCGTCCTATTTAGTTTATATATGCGCTATACTAAATAAAGTGATTACAATTTATAATTTCTCACAACAGGCTCTACATATTCATAAAACAAACATTTGTATCAAACTCTTCTCTACCAACTCTACCAATCATTTTTTTATTGATATTATCGAAATTTAAAAAAAATGTGGGAATCGTAAAAGATAAAATATAAAACTAATATTTTTCGTTTAGATAAAAATGCTGTTTAGTGAAATTAAGGCAGAATAAAAACCATTTTATCTTGTTTTCAGGTGCTTCAATTTTAGATACTACAATGTAAAAAATACCAGATCATATTATGGTAAAAAAATACCGGCGCTCTGGGCGTCGGTAATTTTTGCCGTAAAATCCATTTTTATTGCCAAAATACATTTTTCGAAACAAAAAATCTGATATACCTTGAATTTTACAGTAATAATTACCGTAAAATCACTCTAATATTACTGAATTTAAAAATTATGGTTGGATTATGGTTATTTTAAGGTGAAAATGAATTTCACTCTATAACGAATTTTACGGATAAAGTACCTAGAATGCCGGTAATTTATACCGGAATTTGATCCGGAATTATTCACACATGATAAAAGGAGCATTTCGAAATGCAACCGATTCAGAGATTTGTAATTATTATTATTGCTATTATTATTATTATTATTATTACTATTATCTGTACTTATTACGCTTCGAAAGAAACATTTGTATTTATCTGTTTCTTTCTCTTGCAGAAAACTGTTTCGACGTGATAACTTATAACAAATAATATTGACGCTATTAATTGTAAAAGCTTTATAAAATAAAAAATACAAATTACATTTCTTATGAAAAGCTATAAAGATTTAATTATTCTACTCTAGACAATTCAAATAAATGTGCATTTATTTCTTCTCCAAAGAATTGCGTCGTTACGATAAGTTTTAAAAAGTAACATTGAATCAGCTAGATGTAAGACAATGATTACGCTGTGAATTGTAAAATTTTGATCGCCGTTATCATTTGTAAAATTTATAAAAAAAAAAAAATTAAAAAATAAAAAATATATTAAAAAAAACAGATTTTATTACTTTTTGAAAAACTTTTAGAATATAATATTTTTCGTTCCAGATTTATAAAAGATTTAAAATTTAAATAAATGTATATTTACCTGTTTGTTTCTCTGCAGAGAATAGCGTAGACGCTGTCAGAGCCACTGATGAGCTGCGGCCTTTTGAGTTAGATGAATACACCACAATAATGAATGTTGTTCCCGGGGGAAGACCTCTCACTATGAAGCTGGGATAATCATTTGATGTGACGTTAGCAAGTAATTGCTCTCTCTTCATACTGTAGATTTCTAGATGAAAGGTCTGCTTCATTCCTCCGTCATCCCCCACTTCACACGATAAAGATAATGAGTTAAAGGACTGGTTTGTTATAGTACAGTTCTGTAGGGACTCTGGTGGACCTAATGAGAAAATTCATTTATTGTATAAAATTAAACGAAAAATATTAAAATGTTTTAAAATAGCAAGCTTTATAGTATTTAAGACATATACTCAATGAGTCGCGATGGCTCAGGGGACAGAGCGTTCACCTTCCATTGAAGTGAACAGGGTATAATCAAATTCAAAAATTTTATTATACCTAAGAGCATAGCATACAAACCATTAATAACATTTACTCTCAAGTCTTGTAATTTTTTCTACGTGTGTGGTTATAAAAAATATAATTTCGAAAACTAGAATTTACCCTAAGCAGTTGAAATATGAACGGAGAAATCATGAATTAAATTGTTTAAATACCGTATATTTTATATTTTGATTTTGGTTCTTGATTTGAATTATGGTTTTCGGTACCAGAAATACCATTACCATACAGTAGGATAGTTTTACTAGAACGTTTTTCTATGAATAAAGTAACGATAAATTCCTCACATTAAATATTTTTTTAAATGGTCTTTCTAATAGTTAACAGCCTTTCTTTGGTTAGTGCATTCATAACTGCTAATGAATTATGTTTATAAATTTGGAGTTCCACCAATAGAAAATCGATCAATCGTCTAGGGCAGGGGTTCCCAACCCTATGCCCGTGGGCACCATGGAGCCCGTCGATCGGTCTAGGTGCGCCCGTTGCTTCTGCCCTACGATAAAATATTTCAGTTTTCCATTTCCCCATTAAATGCTATGCAAATACATGCATAAGTACGCTAGCTCAGTAAAGGTAAATTACTTGATAGATTTCTAGATTTAATTGAAGAAATAAAAATTATCTTGCAGCCAAAAATCAAATCTTTTTAGATCTAAGAGATCCTCTTTGGCTAACAGATTTGTCTTTCATAACGGACATAACGGAAAAATTAAATAATTAAAGCTTGGAGGGAATGGACAAACATATAGCAAGAATGATAGGGGCTGTAAACTCGTTCAGAGCTAAGCTAGTTTTGTGGATATCGCATTTGAAAATGAAGTCTCTAGTGCATTTTCCATGCATGATCAATTTGAAAAGCGCTTTCAACAGTTTAATATCATCGAGATATTTGATCACATATTTTGTAAATCTTTTTACCAACCATAGTAGCAACACACATTTCAGAATTTCTCCAAGTAAGACGAGAAATGGAGATAGAAATTTAGGATCTTCAGAATGACATTATCCTCAAAACTATTATATCAGATGAGAAATTCTGGAATATAGTTGTCAGAAATGAATTTCATTCTTAAAAAGAGCAGCATATAAAATAAAGTAGTTTTTTGGTTCCACATACTTGTGTGAATCACTGCCTTCGACAATAAATATCATAAAATCAAAGTATAGATCCCGACTTGCAGATGAACACCTTGACGATTGCTTGCGAGCAGGAATTTCACCGTATTCTCCCAATTATGAAGAGCTGGCCAATGAAGCAATGCCAAAAGTCACATTGACTGTATTTTATATATTTTATAAATAATTTTTATACTTCGTATGGTTTGAAAAAGCAATTTAGTAATCATTTATTCTACACAAGAATATAAATACTAATTATATTCCTAAGTTAAATTAATTTTTAAAATTAAATTTTTTGTGCATTGTATGTAGTTTGCATTATTACCTATGTCTATCAACTATAAATTTATCTTAAAAAATAAATGGTGCCCGCCATTCGACCGCTATTCTGGTATTTGCTCTTAGATACAAAAAGGTTGGGAACCCCTGGTCCAGTGTTTTATAACCGAAAAAATTTGGGTACCGCTGGCCTAGAGTAGTAGCTGGTCTGGATAGTTGAATGGTTGTATGGATGTGTATGGATGGTTGGCTGAATGTAAACAATAACAAGCTTCCTAAAACCGGAAGAAATTTAGAAAACGTCCGATGTATCCTTCCGCTTTGGTTATGCTTGCAAGGTTGCATGTGAACAGGCTTTATATTCTAGGGAGCTTTGTTAATGAGATTTATGTTTAAATGTATGCGTAATTTTACCTTTCATAAGAGTATCCTGTAATTTATAAATTCTATCTGGCTGTGAGCCTAAACCAAATTGAAAAAAAATAGCATCACAACATTAACATATAAGATTTGCCTTTTATTAGAGTTGTTCCTTATCTGGCTATAATTATGTTGAATATCACCGCAAGTTATTTTTTGGGTTGCATCGAGGGCGTAATATGCTTCAGGAGTCTTCCAAATTTATATGTTGTTGGTTTCACTGAAATTTAAATTGAAAGAACGCGTTATATTGTAAACACTACGAGAATAATAATATTTGGTGGCTCTCTTCAAGCTTAGGTATTAAAATCAATCCGAAGTAGTAACTCGGAAGTCTTACGACGAATTTTAACCTATGCCGTTGGCTTCGAAATTGTGGAGCCATCATATCCGTGACTCAATAAGTCTACAGTCGGCTGTTGCGGGCATGATTGATCTATCATTGAATTATTCTAAAATAGATTTATTATATTTTCGTTTCAGGTTTGCACGTTTATATTCATGCTAAAAAAAAACATAGATTTTCGAATTACTTGAAGAGTACTTAAGTTTAAAATTTACATCTAAACTTAAATAACGTAAAGTACACAAATTAGGAAATTTATGAATCGTTATTTAAGTTTTATATCCGTCGTTGAACAGCCGACCCAATTTTTGAGTTTACGACCACATATGTTCAGCTCCGTTGCCTTGTGATTTTGAACCCAATCCAGACGACAAGGAAACTCCTGGATCAGTACCCCCAGGGGTTTTGATTTGTTATGGGAACATGGTGGATTTTGCAACTCGACATATTTAACGTGCATCAGTCACCATTTACTACACGGGGAGTCTTCGGCCAGCTAGGATCGAACCCATGAACTCTTGGACATGAGCCCAGTGCCCTACCAACCAGTCTATCCCGGCCTTTGGTATTTAAATTTAAATTACAATTCTTTAAATTAGTTTAACAAGTATAAGTTATATATTACGAAAAGTATTTAAACTATGATTTGTATTATATTTACCTGTAGGCACTATGTTAAAAACACAAGGTTCTCTCATATTTCCAACTGTGTTTTTGGCATAACAGTAAAGAGCACCGTAGTCCAATTTCGATTTTGGAACAAATTTGACAACACTTTTCAATTCTGAAGCACTCCTTTGAAAACTCCTTATTTCCTTAGTTTCTGAAAACGTATTGTTAAATATCCACCAAAACAAGACGTCTTGAGGATCAGATTCCACTGAGCAAGTCACATTTATTTGCTCGTTTTTCGCTACTCCATAATTCCGACGTTGACGATCGCTGCATGCAGGAGCATCTGAAAATTATTGAGAAATTTATTTTTACATAGTATTTAATTATATACAGGGATCGATATACAGATATCATGGCTCTAGGCACAAAGCCACTTATGGGCCACCTAGGTAGAATCGACAAGTGTCAGTTAACATACATGGTTTTTAATCACAATAATACAATAATTTTTTAGACAGCAATAAATTATAGAAAATTTTAAGCTTTAATTAGAAGTAAATTGTATAGAAATTTAAAATTTAATGTCACTAAACTGTGAAAAAATACTGGAATTTAATTGATAGAGTGAGAATTGTTGTTGAAAATTAAGAAAATTAATTAGGAAACATGATATCTGGACTAAGTACCTAGTAAAGTATAGATAGCATTTTACAAATGTTTTTGAAAGATTTATTATGAACTTCAAAAAGCACTATCTCTCAAGTTCACTTGAGCTAATAATAATTTTATCAAAACGGTTTATTAAGAAAAGTAAAAAGAAAAATTTGAGGGCCTTTACAAGTTAAAGGCTAAACTAGATGAAAAAGATAAATGTTTATTTGCAATTTGGCCTGGGGTATCTCACAAGCAGGGGGTCCAGGGCACATGCCCCGAATATCCTCCCGAAAATCAGTTCATGCTCCATATGAATTTTTATCAGAAAATCTCTTCTATTTTAAAACTGATTCTTGACTAAAATAGTTATGTACTAGGAATAAGGAATTGTTGAGTTACACAAGCCTAAAACTGAACTGAATAGTTCGTTAAAGAGTCGGTTTATTTTTCTCAAATGTGATTAAAACAATGTGAAAAATTCTCAAACTGTTATTGGTATTGTGGAGTTCTCAAAGGGTAGGAAGCAGGTCTAAACAAACATTAAACTATGACAGTTTAAATTTAATTTACTGTAAATCTTTAGGAGTAATATTATTATTCTGTCAAGTTACAATAATTAGCTTAAAGTAAAATTTCTCAATAAATATCTTAAATAATTATTTATTTTAAAAGAAAGAACCAATTTTGGACATCGACAAGTAAAAATGCTGATTAAATTAATTACAAATAAGTTAAAATCTGTAAAAATAGAGAGGGAAAAGTTAATTACATGCGTTTATTTAAACACATATAACCGAGTTTATCGTCACCAAAGATTCAGAAAATATCAATTTGCTCACTATAATTTCTCTGGTTCACAGATATTTCAATGGATTGTTATTTATTTCAAATGTAGTAGCTCATTTAGTGAGGAGATAGATTCTTTTAACATCAGATATATATATTCCAAATTACTCGCTGGTATATGAAATTGGTATTGGGATACATCATTTTAAGGTTATAAAAAGATATGGAAAAAATGATCATAAAGGAAAAAAGAATCTTCCAAGTATCAGCAATACTCAATTTATATTTCGCTATGAAGAAAAATTGAATCCGAGGCATATTTCTATTCTAATTGAATCACACTAAATAATCAAATATACAATTAATAATATTGCATTATTTTTTCCGCAACTGAAAACACTTATGTTTTTTTAAATTGTTTGTGTCATTCACTCCCTGAACAAATTGTATAAGAAAATTTTAATTTCCAGTTTTATGAAAATCTAAGGAGAAAGCGGATTAGCATAATGCAATTGAGCGCATAAAATTAATGATACCATGCTGACATATTCAATAACAGGCAATTAATATCTCTGTCGGTCAAACGCAAAATTCCAAGATAATTTATCTTAATAATCAGCTAAAGGTTTGATAAGCCTTTATAATTAAAATCTACTCACACTGAATTCTGAGCATAACTTCTTCACTTCGACCACGGCCTTGTGCATTTATAGCTTGACACTGATAGGTCCCTCTATGTCTCCGACTTACATTATGAAGTAGCAGTGAATGGTTACGTATATTAACGCCTTTAAGCGAATCATGAAGGAGGAGTCTTCCTTGAAATAGCCATTTAACTTCGGTAACTGGAGGATTTGCTTGGATGTTGCATTCGAAGTATACGTCACTTCCTTCTCGAATGTGCTCATACTGGACACTGGCTCCAAACACAAGTGACAGGTGGGGTGGATCTAGGAAAAGGAATTAAAGAAAGAATAGGTGAATGGAATTAAATAAAAAGTAATTATTAACACGCGATGGAAATTAAGAAATAAATTAAATAAAGGAAAGGATTTTACCATTTAAAGACTTTAATGAAATAAATTTTCCAAGGGATAACTTTATGAAGAAATGAAATCGTGACAGTTGTGAATTTCAGTCCCCTTTTAGCAATTTCTTATAAATTTAAAAAAATGTTAATTAAAAGCAATATTTATTTTTTTGTAATTTCTTAACTTAAAAAAATAATTATTTATTACGAGTGTCTATATTTGAAACATAGGAATTAAGCGAATAACAATATGAGAAAGATCTAATTTGAATTACGCGTTATCTTGTTTCATGTAAGCATAAATAACCTGGTATTTAAAAGCACTACTTATAGCCAAAATATTCTGCATAATTGTAATTTCCTCATAAAAATTAGTCGTAAGAAATATTTGAAAATTTAAAACTAGTTCCTCATGTTAGAAAACCTAAATAATTCATTAAATAAATAATCCCAAGACTGTTTGATTAGAAACATGTCGACTGTCATTTACTATTTATACTTTTTTGAACTGAAGGATGTTTTAAATCAAGTACTAAATAGTTAATGTTAAAAATGCTAACAATTATCAGTAGTTAATATTAAAACGATTAGCAAATGTTAGTAGTTATTATTTAAAAAAATAAACAGATTGCAATACTTGACAATATTAACAACTGTCCGATATGAATTTTAATAATGTGAGTAACTGAAAATAGTTAATGTTAACAATGTTAATAACAGCCAGTAATGAATGTTGACAACTAGTAAAGCATTCCCGCAAAAGCCCGTTGTGAGTCATGGAGTTAAAAAATTCGTGACCTACAGTGTGATAGTGGCACAGTGGTTAGCATTGCACCCAAGCCACCTATACGGTTTGGGCAATCTGGTACTCATCCATCTGAAACTGGATGGGCTTTAGGTCATTCCTGGGGAAAATTTTGACAACAATCAGTAGTTATTGTAATTATTGCTAAAAATATAATTAGTTAAAAATAACGATTCTAGCGAATATCGAAAGTTGTTATATTAAATATTTGGAATATTTCGTATTGAAACTCAATCAAGAAAAAAGGGAATGAAAACTGCTCCTCATTCTAAAAAGAGATTTAAAAATCTGTCAAAATAACATGTTTTTATGTTCCTTTTTTACCGGATATATCACAACTCGGAAAACATATAAAATTGCTGTGCTGAAATTTGAAAGAAATGCAAACATGAAATAAAATATAGATTTTTTTGGCTTTCGCACAGATTTCTATCGACGATTCCATTAAAAAAATCCCCGTTTTATTTCCAAAAAGTTTTCTTCTTCTGGATTCAAATTGTGATTTGGCTTGTATTACTCTAGAAATAAAACAAGAAATCCAAAAAAAAAAATATTTTGTAGGAAAATGTATTTTTTTCCTTTAAGACTTTCCATCATACACAAATTTATAATATTTAAAAACAGCTTTGTGGATTTTTTTAATAATACATTCATTTTTGAAGTTAATAATTTACAGTTTAACTATCCAAGATTTAAAATTCTCACAACGCAATTATTATTTTAATTTTTGACTTAAATTTATTTGTTTATTTTTAGTGCATATTTTGATTAATGATTCTCTTATTTCTAATCAATACCATTGCATCATGTTAAGTTTCGATAGTGAAAGTTCATATGCTCAAGATCGTATACTATTCATAATTCAAGTTCATAATTTATTTCCAATAAAATTCTAATTCTAATAAAATGCATATTTGTTTTACGAACTTATATCAAGAAATTAGAACTAATGATAATGATGCTATAAAATAATAAATGATATATTTATATAACATTTAGATCAGAGATTATATGGGGAAAAAATTCTACTAAAATTACCGTACTGTATGTCAATGGAATTCTTAGTAAAGAGAAACATAATTTTGGTAATCAAATTAATATATATGGTTTTTATAAACCATTTCTTTGGTAATTTTTTATTCATATGGTAACTGTTTACCGGAAATTCTAATTCTCAAAATTATTGTCCTTATTATCAAGCATTTAGTAGAAAATACAAATCTAAAATTGAAATTTAACCGAATAAAGGATTTTTATGCCATGCTCTATGAAATCATGATGAAATTGCCAAATTTCACAACATTTACTAAATTTTATCATGCATTATAACACTATATTTCATGGCAAATTTAACCGATATCATTAATATAATACTTTGGTAAAAATACCGAGCATTTTTATGTTCCCATGAAGCCAAAATCACTGTAAATTTAATTATATTATAGTAGTTTGGGATCATATTTTTTCCTCAGTGTAGTTTTCATAAAATTAAATAAATAAAAATAATAATAATAGTAAAGTTTATCATATTTTGGTAGTTTCGAAAAAAATTTTTCTCAGTGTAGTTTTCAAAAAATTATTGGAATTATCATAAATTTTTAGTTTTTCAAGAAAAAATAAAAAAACAAATTTTATACCTAATTTTTTTCGATTATTTTTTTAAACAAATTAAATGCACATTTATTTTTACGTTTTTCTAAAAATATAAGTATTATTTATTATGTTATAATAACATAAAATTTTCTCCTATGTTTTTTTATTTTCTTATAAAAATTTTCTCTTAAAAATTTTAAAAATTTCACATCATTTTTACACCATTCTATAAATGAAAAAAAAAACATTTTATAAAAAAACAATGATTGATTTTCCTTTAGGAAATATTCACTTACATAGTACATTGAGCGTCCAACTGTCTTGTAAGGCACTTTCTGGAAGTTTTGGATTTTGAGCTTCGCAAGTTAACTTTTTATTGTTGTCATCTCCACTGGGTACAAAACTCAGGGTACTCACTGAAATGCTACCAAATATATTTTGTATCGCTAAATGATCAACTCTTTCTAATCCCTTCCTCCAAGATATTCTTGCGGGTGGCCTGGAACCTTCACTTTGGCAACTCACCTCCACTCGTTCACCAGCCTTCAGTGTGGTGGGCACCGTGGTGATCTGTACACTCACAGGTTTCACTCGTTTAGGAAAAAGAATAAATTTTTGACTATGGTCAACATTTTCGACATGCAATCTCACGACATATGAAAATAATATTTATATAATGCACTCATAGGGTTTCAAGCATAAATTATAAATATAAATGAAATAACTTTTCCTAAAAAAGCATCTTTTGCTTCATGGCTGAAATGGAAGAAAGGCCATTATGTTCGAACATCACGCTCCTCGTCAAGAAAACTACACCAGACACCAAAATTTTTTCTACACTTAACACATCAGCTCTTCTTGATGCCTTTGAGACTTTTCACTTTCATATCAGTGTTTGTTCTTTTAATTAGTAGGGATTTAATTGGGTTGGGGTTAAGTAGGTAGTTTAATTAGTCTTTTAATTAGTAGTAATTCTAACATTTTTGTTAATTAGCAAAACTAATTTTTTTTATTGAAATGTTAACTAAGGTGTCCACTTACATATTCGGTTAATAATTTTTATTTGTTTAAACAAAATTACTTTGTTACAATATAATATTCTAATACCAAAAAAAGTACTTACGCTGCGTGAAAATATATTTTGTGATATAACTCTTTCAAAAGTACATAAAAATGGTTGCCAACAGGGATGTACTTGTAGATTTATTAAATACACCTTGTGCGCCACCTAGGAACCAAATCTAGTTGCTCTGTTACAATCGTACCCTGTTACAATTGACCCCACTCTCCCCTACAGTGCTGACCAACCTCTCAATCGCTCCTGGAGCGGATTATGCCTTGAACTACATCCTCCGGCTACTGTGATTCTCCCTACCCTTATTAATTTATTTTATGTCTTATCATGGAAATAGTTCTCTGACTTTTTCTGGAATTTTTTTATTCCATCATTCACGTGTTTGCATTTTGACGAGGAGTATCTTGTTTGACAGCTTAAAACATATTACTCAATCTTCCATTTTTATCTAAAAAGCAAAATAAGATTTCTCTATTTCCAAACAAATAAAATCCTTCGACATTATTTTTTTGTTTTGATTAGGATCGTGACGTGTGTTACTACTTATCAATCTAGATGCAAATTTAGATCATTTATCCTGAGTGACTGAAAACGTTCTATTATTTTGTTAAAAATCATATTTTCTTTATCTACTTTTTCACAACCGTGGTAAAAAAAATTATTTTATGTCTTACAAAAAAAGTTTACTTTTTTTTCTTATTTTCATATTTTAAAAAGTCTTGTTTAATATTTATTAACTTGAGAATAGTTATATATCTGATTGTATGAATGAAAATTTATTTTTGTCTTTTTGAAAATGAGGCGATGATTTAAAGGACGATTTTTCCGTGTAAAATTACCCAACTTAAATAAATTTGATCGAAACTTGCGAACGAAATAAGATGGAATTTGTTTAATTAAGGACGATACAAATATTTTTCAAAAATTTCAAGCAGATTCGAAATTAAAAATATTAATTTGATAATTTTAATTATTTAGTTTCATATTTCCAAGCAAGCTAAGGGGGGGGGGTAAGGGTAAACTTTCCCACTTTTAAGAGGTATTTGATTTGCAAATAAAATAAATAGATAGATAGATAAAATTAAAAAAAAAAACAATAAAAAGCGTAAAATTTATTGAATTAAAGTTAGAAGTAATATCAAATACACAAGTAATAAAATTTGATATTTTTATTAAAAAAATATTATAAGTATGTATCACAAAAATGAACAAAATGATTACCGTAAAATATTTCAACTACTATTTTATAAATACTAAAAGTGGTTAAACTAAGTTCCAGTATGATGCAAAAAAATACATTTCAACTTTGACGTCAACTTACGCAGATTATTCTTGGAAAAAAAAAAGAAAATTCTTGAATATTTTATTGACCATGTATAATACCAAATATTAACTATTTTTTGTTCTATTTTGAAAAATAGAAGCAGTTTTATTGTCTGCTAAAATTCGGAACTCTTTTGGAAACTAAGAAAATTATCATTATTTCTTTTAGATAGTTGAAAAGAATAGTTATTCTGTAGTTCATTTCTGCGTTTCTATTTTCTTTCTTCACTGTCATACATTTGTGCTCAAAAGAAAGATCAAACATTTTGAAAAGAAAAAGAAAATAAACACCTAGATATATCTCACAAAAATATATTGACTTCTGGAGCTGACGTTTCTGTCCACAGACCTTTGACAAATGAATAAGGATACATTTTGGTTTTCAAACAAACCAAAAATGAGGTTGTGGTTTTCTCAGTTACAAAGTATCAGATTATTCTAAGATATAAAAAAAAACTAGAATAATCAATTGACCATGTAAAATAAAAAGGATTAAATCCTCAGTAAACGTTTAGCCTCCTAAAGATTATTATTATATATTTCTTTTTAGTTTTCGAAGTAAGATGTTCGTCCCATTTCCAAAGAAATATAAATCTTTTTAGCAAAAAAATAACAGACTTTTTAAAGAAGTAACAAAGGTTGAAAGTTCATATAGGTTTGCACAGATTCAATTTAATTTTTAATATAATAATCTAAATGCAAATATATATTTCAATTAATATTATTTTATTTGTTTATTCATGTCGCTTAACTAAACTTTTACTTTGAATTTATTTTGTGAAGTATTTTGTAAAAAGTATTTTTGTTTTGTAAGGCTTAAATCTTTTGCATAAAAACAGCGAAGCTACATTGTGAAAAATTTCTAATCAAATTGCGGTAGAAAGTACCGGCTTTTATATAGTCATGTTTTAAAGAATGAAATATCAAAAACTAATAAATAAAAAAAAGATCAATTCAGAGAAAAATCATAAAATAGATTTAAAAAAAATGTTGAACAACAATTAAAACTTCAATCATATTGTGGATAGTTAAATACGAGTTTAGAAACGCACTTGCTCCCTTTTTGGACACTTTAAAAATACCAAATGCCGGTACAACCTTCCTCGGATTTTAGGTCCCTAAAAAACGTCTATTTGTGGTACTATATTTTGCGATTTATGTTTAGAGTGAAATACCTAAATACGGCTCAATTGTACAAAATTTTATGTATTAGACTGATTATTGGTGATATATAAGGCGAATTTTAAAGTCAAACAGTTAAAGTCAATAACCTAACATAAATAAAATTATTTTTCACTACAATTGCTCATTACTGAGCCCTGACGTCTCAGGGAAGAGAGGCGTTGCCTGCAAAAGAAGTAGTCCTGGTTCGAATCCCAGCGATGGCTGGTCGAAACAAATACTGCATCTGACTCGCACCGTCCACTGCACTGACATAAAATATCCTATAGATGGATCATGGGCAAGAGTTTCCTTGCGTCAGTTTAACCGTTGGAGATTTTGGTGGTTTTCCTCTCCATGCAAGTGCGGGCTAGTTCTATCAGAAAGTCCTTTACGAAGGCAAGTCTCCCAAATGCTTGATTCTGGAGTTCCCTTATTTTCCGGATTGGGTTCAAAATTACTAGGCTACTGAGTTGAACATTAGTAGTCGTAAACTCAAAAATTAGGTCGGCTGTTTAACCCCTATACGATCGGTTAATTTTTAAGAAAACGGTCATAAAAGTGCCTATTTTTTTGGGCCTTTGTGTTTGCATTACGTATTTGATTAGTGCTAACATATGGTTTAAAGTAAACTAACTATCTACAATTACCTTAAAAATATCCTGGTACTGCCATCTGGTGTGTAAAATGTTAAATAAAATGTTTCCCGGGCAAATGAAATGAATTAGTTTTACTCTAATTGGCGCGTTATTACTGAGCACTCCAGCACGTCAATATCACGGGAGCGAGAAATAAAAGGCGAAACCTCACCCTGTCATTTTCACGGGAGCGAGAAGGAAGTGATTAACGACGGTTATAAAATTATATAAAATTGCTCATTACTTCTAACAAAATGTATGTCTTTGTTGACATTGATACTTACAATTTAAGTCGAGTGTGACAGACGTATAGAGTGGACCCGTAACGTTATTATTTGATGCTTGGCATGTTAGAACAGTTAATAAATCTTCTCTTCTAAGGCGATTAAAGCTTATTTCATTTTGAATAATACCTGATCCTTCTACAGTTAAGGAACCAGCAATAATTCGTGAACCTTTGCGCCATGTCAACACAGGCGTTGGATGACCTGAAATGGTAAAAAAAAAAAAAAAAAAAAACTTTTGACAAAAATTTTTTGTGAAAAAAATGGAGATTTAGCAGCTGTAAAGCTGTCAAATATTCTAAGCATACATTTCGAACACGAATTATAAGTATACGCTTCGAACACAAATTCTTTATAATGAAAACTTTTTAAATGTCGTGTAATTTTATTAAGTGAATCTTCTATTACAGTCAAACTCATTTTTCGACATAGTGGATTTAGAATATACACTGCTTATAGAAGCAGATTTTTAAGGTTTATGGAAACAGATTTCTATGTTACATTGAAACAAAATTAAATTTCGCGGTTTAAGCAGCTTTCTTGATATACTTTTTGAATTGATTTTTATGAGATACTATAGTGGAATTCATCTTCAATCTATGAAAATAAACAAGATCTTTAATTACAGAAGGGTATATAGTTTTAATAGAGTTATAGTTGACAAGTTATAGTAGACAAAAACCAACAATTAATATTCGAAAATTAATCTTAAAGCATTAAAGGAGACATAAACGCTTTTGAAGTTTAATGAACTACTAGCAAGGAAGGTAACTTGCGCAACAAAGCCAGTTTGGTAACTTGATGAAAAAAGGAAATGTTTTTAATAATCGCTTTTCAATTTTATTTCACAGGCAATCAAACCAGTTTTGATAATTGTAGTCTCGTTTTAATGTAATTTTTCATTGGAGATCAATAGCTTTTCCTTTTTTTAAGGAAAATTTTAATTTGTGTATATATTGTGTCAAGAATTTTAAAAATATATTAGGGGAAGTTATTATAGAACACATTATGTACTGCAAAGTTGCTCAGTAAAATACATACCTCCTTTTGCTACACAAATCAAGGTCAAACTAAACCCTTCGGTAAAAGGACCAATTAATCCTGAATAAGTACTATTATCTTTTCCTTTTATGAAAATCTTCTTGACTGGCACTGAAAAAAAAAAGGATAGCGTTTGAAATATAATTTTAAATTGTAATTTGGAATCAGAATAAAATTACAACTATGTATGAACGAATAGTCTATTATATTGTAGTTTGTTTTATGTAAAAAATAAAAAACAAAATTCGAGGAAAATCTGATGGGTAAATATAAGTTTTTTTGTCCTTTTATCTTTTATCAGACAACATAAAATCGTTCAGCTTGGAAAACAATTATTTGCTACTGCTATGGTGAATCTTCTAAACGTTGGCGAGATATTCTAATTTAAAAGAATGGTGCTTAAGGAAACAATAATGAATTATATAATTCACAAATATAAAATACGAGTTTCCATTACTAAGCAAACAAATTAAACATTTCAGCATTTCACTACTTTGAATAAATATGCATAATCTCTCTAATCGGTGCAAAATTATTTCCTTAAAAATGTGGTTTTATTGATACTTAAATGAAAACAATAAGTACAGAAAATATTTGTTTTAATATTGTAAAAATACATAAATTAAAAAAACTATCGGCATAAAAAACTTATTATTTATGTATTAAATGAAAATAAATTACTATAAATGGGACATTTCAAAAATGCTTGAATTTTTGAGAAGTAGTTATTTAACAAATTCTTGGAGCTTTAAAATCTTAGTAATCCTAGAGAAAAACAGCAAGGAATATATAATAATTTCATGAAAAAAATTGATTTCAGAACATTTTTTTCGTACAAATAATTTAAAACCATTATTTAGTATACAGTTTATGTTAAAGCAATTATACTTCTGCTATGTACCTATTTAACAGCGCCATCTAGTGCAGTCAAGAACTAAGTGACGTTATTTAGACATATTTCCAATAAGAGATTACAATTCTCTTGAGGCATGCATCTGTGGCATGGAAAAATTGTAAATATTTTAGAAAAAAGTAATTTTTTTTCCGCCATAACCGTTACAGAAATAGCTTTATTCGAATTTTAATTTATATTCCTGCTTTTACTTTACTTTCTAAATTTCTACGGACACGGTAAAAAATTCTAGAAACTTTCAAGGTAAATGTATAACTGTAAAACGTATAGTCTCTAAAGATCTATTCGGTTTTTTTCAATAAATTACGCGAGGAAAATATTCTTAATTTAAACGTATATAGAGGATTATGATAGCTATCGTCATATTCACTGTGGCATAAGGAGGTTTTTAATGCAAATATAAATGCAGATTGCTGATTTTAAAGCCGTCCATGTTGTGCTAAGGTACATGACAAGGGTAAGTTTTAGCTTTTTGTAAGGGTACATAGTTTCAAATCCTCTATTTGGCAGTGGGGGCACTTACTCGTTCTATTGTTTTGACCAAAACGTTGCAGTAAAAGGATTTGCTACGATAGTTTTTAATACCTTAACAGTATACTTCGAATATTTTTCATTTGAAGGGTATTTTTAGCATGGCATTTCAAACATAAAATTTCTGTTTTCAAAGTACATTTTTATAAATTATATTCAGGTTTACCGATCTGCTATGACCATTTTTAAACTTAAAACTTAACGGTAATTGTTAAATTTTGCCACAAAAAGTACTACAAAAAGTGCTAGTACTATCACATTTTACCGTATTTCTAAACATAAAATTTCAATAATGTGTTTTACAGCGTATTATTTCTGATCGCATTATTTTTCCTCAATCTGTTTAGTGTACTTTTTTTCTACCATAAAACTTTATGGTAAATTTTGAATTTTGAGTGAAAAATAAAGGTACTTTGTTTGTCGGTGATTTTAATCATACATTTTCAGGAATATATTTCACTCACCTATAACATTCAGATTTACCAATCTGCTGAGAGTGCGACCTCTTTTGAAATCCACTCTGCATCTGTACTCCCCCGCATCATCTTCTTCGATAGGGTTGAGCCTTAAATGAGCCAGACTTCTCCTTGAAACGTTAAAATAAGCTCTTGAACCCAGAACTTTGCTGGAAAAATGTTTTGCTGTGTCCGCCGTTGGGGTACTTCGGGCATCGAGCGTGTATATTGGATTGGGTAGATCTAACCTATACCATAAAACTAAGGAGATTGTGTCGTCATTTGAGGGAGGGCTCAGGTTGCATGGTAGAGACACTGCAGCTCCTACAATGGCGTGAAGCTCTGGATACTCTAAGGGGAAATACAATTAAAACATAACTTTAGAAAACAATCAAATTTTTAAAAAGTCGTGGTTTTAAAATTCGATTTCATTGCAACTATTTGACCGACTTTGCCCAAATTTTGTAGTTTGATCATTTAAAATTACATTTTTGAAAATCAGGTGTAAAACTGTATACCTTACGATTCAAAATGTTTCGATTATTCTTAAATAAAACAAACCGAACTCAATATTATATACTAAAGGAAATAGCTTCGTATAAACAAAAATTTTTCAACTAGCTTAAAAAGTTCAGTAGATATGACGAAATTAGCGAAAAATAAAATTTGCACTAAGAGGGTGTAAACTTTCAACCGCTGTCCTTACCAAACTATTGGGACAATATTTCCCAGATTATAGTCTAGGTCGAAAACCTGAAATTGTCGAGAAAAAAAAGTATATGTTAATTCCGAGAAAGAACGTTTTTGCATCTGATTTCGTACCTTTACATATCGTCTGCACTAACTAATTAGCACAATTGAGGTCACCTCCTCGAACCATTAAGATCGAGTCCTAAAACGTAAAAGACCGAACATTAAATCAAAAGTTATTCAAGGTGGAAAAATTTTATTTTTTATTTTATTTATTTATTTGTTTACTTTTTTTGCGCTTTACCCACTATAAAAACTGTGGTGCATCCGAATATGTAGATGTTTATCTATCCAAATATTGTTTGTGAATAACGCAAAAAATTGCGTGACGCAATACTTTATCCAGGTTAACACCTAATCGAGAGTTCTTTTACGATTTGGTGAAATTCAAACCTAAACGCTTAAAATTGAATTACAACATAGTCTCGGACTCTCACGCAAGCGAGAATTATTTTCTCTTCTTAAAAAATTAATGTCGGTGTACTTCAAATATCGTCTGTTGATTGCTTACATTCGAATATAATTTGACGGGAATTTGTGGTTGTTTTCAATGCTGCGATACATTTACCGGAACGATAGCTAGCCGTTGAAATTTATTTTTATTTTTATATGAGTAAAAATTTATAAAGCAAATTTCTCATTAAGAAACTTTAACTCAAAAAGAACTTTACTGACTTATATGTGTAGCTTAGCTTTTTATAATTAAACATTTTAGTGCTATTGAATAACAAAAATGATGACAGCTACTTTACCGGTAGTAGTGTAAAAGAATTACCTTTCACTACGCCAGGAACTGTTCCTTGTCGTACATGACTTTGGTACAAAGTTGCTGCCTGAATTTTTGGTGTTAATAAACACTAAAACTTTTTATTCAGTGGCAACCAGCGGTTTCTTCAAGCGTCGCTATGAAATTTTATCCTAAGCTACTCGGTGAGCTCTATTATTTATGACCTGGCTAATCTTACGTATTAGAACTAGTACTTTCATTTCATGTGTACTTCCACGTTTATTATTAGTTATTGTGGGAAATTAAATTTTCAAATTATTCTATCAATAACTTTTTTTCATCTTAATTTACTAATTTAACAACCAATTTAGCGAGTTTGCAAATTTGTCTTGTCACCTATGTCAATAGTAAACTAGATTTATTTATTTGTTATTTGAACATATGTAAAATGTAAGCTAGATTTTATTTATTTGTTATTTAAGTATAAGTAAGTTGTAAGTTAGAATTTGTATCATCGGTTGCTATGGTGATATTATAGAACAAATTTTTTTGGGTTAAATGCAAGTGTTATGTTTCTTGTCAGAATAATTTTACTTTAGTAGAGATCTACAGAATATTGCACTTTCTGATAAAGTCTCTTAATATTTGTGGTGAACAAGGACGTGATTTTAAGACGAATTTATAATATAATGAATGGAACTCAAAAACATGGGTGGATAGTTTGAAGCTCTTTTACAGGATTAAGTAACCAAATTTTTAACTGAAATAAAATCTAGCTTACAACTTACATACATTCATATAATAAATAAATAAATCTGGCTTACTTTTAACAACATAATCAGTAAACTACGGTGAAACAGCCCAAGGATTTTGTTAGGACCAATGAATTAAATTCCGTCCTTTCTCATAAAACTCAAACGACAAAATAGCACAATAGAATTTACGGAAGGATTAATATATATTATAAAAAAAAATTTTGTATCCGATTTTGATTTTATTTCTATAGTAAAAATTAATTAGATCAAGCAACTTTTAAAAATGGATCTATTTTTTCAATGCTTTTATGAACTCCTATGGATTATTAAGCAAGGGTATATTGGTTATATTAATTTTAAATGTTTACACCCCAAACAAAACAGAAACTTCCATGAAAGGATATTCATTTTAAATGTTTACATCTCAAACAGAACAGAAACTTCCGTGCTACATGAATCATGAACTTTGTAATGTCCCGAAATTGAAGTTGCGTGACTACTCAAAATAAGATTTATGTCAAACATGATGTTCAAACTTTCAGAACAAAGATGGGAAATTTGTTAGTTGCTTTAATAAAGCATTTGTGGTAAGCTGTTATCAGAAAACAATCAATAATCAGTAAATTAAACTTATCATCAAGATAAACAACTGACTCAAAATATTGTTTATTCAATAAACTTGTTTGGGAATGATTATTTATGCCTCTTTTAAAAATTTAAATTTACATTATTCTAATTTTTTCACAAATTATCACAAATTATTTTATAAATTATAAATTTTTAAATTCTCAACTTAAAAATAACAATTTGAACCAGATTTTCTTAAACTAGGGGCCCCGATCCCTATTGGGATCGCGGTAACTGCAGCAGTGGTTGCGAAAAATCCTAGTTTTTTTTTTTATGTTTCTTTCGTTAATTATAATAATTTTGCTTTTATATCTTTTCGAAATGTACCTGAAAATAGATTTAAAAAAATCACAACACAGAACTAAAAAATGAAAATGTTTTGACACATTTTTGTTATTGTATTATATTTTTTAAATTTGTTACTTTTCAAACTATTACATTGTCTTAGAATTAAAAATTCCTACCAATTTTATCATTCAAAAAATCTCTGATAACTAGCTTAAATTTTAAATTCATGCTGTTGCATTTAACCATTTAATTTTATTTTATCTAAGAAGTCACGCAAAGTTAAAAAGCTAAATAATTGAACAATTGCCTGTTCTCCAAATAAATGATTTTTTCGTTGCAAAATAATTAATTTATTAATTGAACATTTTACTCAATTTTCATTTTAAAGAAAGAAGTTTAAATAATATAGATTGCAAAATTAAAAATTGTTAATTTCTAAATAAATTTATAGTAATTTACTTTCAATGAATCTAAAACATCTTTTAATTCACATTTCGGACGTAGATTTAAACCTGCATAGCTCACAGATTTTACTTATAATGAAATAATAAACTACAGTAAATGCATAAAGTTAATATTAATAAATGTAACGTACGGATGGTTTAGAGTCAAAGCTTTTAGGGTGTGATAATTCTATTGTGAATGTTAAATTTTATGATAAGCGAAAAAGAAATTAAATATGTTAATGCATTATAAAAATTTATAATTAGTGGCAATAAAATCATTCCTAATAAAATAAAAGCACCAGATTTCTCTTTAAAAATTCCATGAAATTGGTTTAACTTCAAAATTTAGCGAATGTATTTCCAAACTCATCAATGATCTAGAAAAATGCTTAAATGGGTAATTGTATTTTAGCAAACTACTAATGATTTGACCGAGTAATATTTAAACTTATAGTTCAGTAATGTTCAAGTGATATTTTAAGTTATTGTTATGATGACTTAAAATACCAGTAAATATATATTTCAAATTTATTTATTACATATTCATGAAATGTACAAACAATAAAATATTTTTAATGTAATTCTTAATGCAATCATTCAGACTATGTTAACGTACTACTTTAAGTAAAAAAAAATGGATTTGTAATTCTTTTCTCAGTTACTTATCAGTGAACTGTGCAAATTGAACTTTTAAAAATTTATATTTTTATTTTTTATTGGTGCTAAACTAATTGGTGCTATTGGAGCTAAACCAATAAATAGGCAATGTAATTTTGCTGAAAATCCAGTGATTGTTTTAAACATCAACTAAAAGGGTGATTATAATAACCATTTTCAGGAAATAAATTAGTAATTGGCTGTATGTTTTTTTTTAACATTCCAATACATGTAGAATTAAAGATGTATTAATTACTTAGCTAATACTTTTATTAAAATGACAACTTTAAAGTAAATACTTTGCTAAATTTTCAGCCAAAGCCATTTTGAAACTCCGAAATATGAGACAGCGATTAAATGTTTTCACTTTCAGTCAGAAGAAGCATAAGTAGGCATTTCCCTACAGTTAATTTCCCTTTTAATTATTCATCTTGTAATTTATTCTAGCGTAAAATCTGAATATAGTTGTCTTCTTAAATATATAGCATTGTCAAAAATTTATTAAGCGACGGAATTCTTTCATTTATTTAGATTACACACTCTTTGAATAGAAAGTTTGAATAGAATTTCCACGATGCATTGAAGTAATTAATATTATGCAAATGAATTTTAGAAGTAGAGTGCAAACTACAGATATTAAGAATATAAATTATTTCTGAACATATTTTTATTCAAAATATTCATTTTTTTTCTACTTCATGAAAAATGTATGTCTATTTAGTGACACAAAAATAAGCATTTACTTAAATACTCTATTATTTTGCATGATATAAAATCTTCATTAATAACTTTATTTTGACGCTCGATTATTTGCAAGCGAATATACATCTTTGTTTAAGAAGAATTACATTAGAATTTACAATACTTTAAAATTTAAGAGAAAATATATTGTGATATTGATTTTTGTTGTTATACATAGCAAAAATTGTGATTTTTCATTGTATACAATACCTTGCAAATTAATCAATTTGAGAAAATATTTAGATGAACGGAAGAGACAATTTTGGTAAAATTAACGTACTTTATGGTAATAGCTTTTCTGGTTACAAGAACAACAGCATAATTCTGGTTTCTAAAACTGAAATATACGGTATTTAAACCATTCATTTAGTAAATATTCCTCTCATACGTCAACATTTAATAAAATTTTTCGTTTGCTAAATAATAGTTTTTATTACCACGTGTACGTTACCAATATACAAAATTAAAAAGTAAATTTAACTAAATATATGGTTTCTATGTCATGCTCTATAGTATCGTAATAAAATTACTTAATTTTATCATATTTATCAAACTTTATCACGTATTTTAAAACTATATTCTATTGTTAATTTTACGAAAACAATTAGCGAAGTGCTTCTTTGAAAATTACCGAGTGATACATACAAGATAAATTTTACCAAATTCAAGAAGTTTTGACCATAAACCTTTTCTCATTGTATTATATTTTCATAATTGCTTTTATCTTGTACTGTAGTTTACACGTTTTGTGTAGATACTTCTATTTTTGATTGTGCGTTCATCATTCTGAGGTATTTTAAATTGCTACTGTGTATTTTGTCGATGCAATATCCTTTTGTAATTGCAAACATTTTATTGTACTTTTTGTTGTATTTTTGTACTGCTTATATAGTAGTGTTTGTAAAATATATTGTTGTAAATATGTTATATTGCTCATATTAAAATGATTGGGGTTAAATAAATGACATCATGAAGTATATTTACAATAATCAGAAATACTTTTTTTCCGTATGTAGAATATAGACTAAGTAAATTCAAACATAAAAATACATAATTAAAATTATATACATAAATAATAGCAATGAGTTTGCAGAAAAATACATTAGACAAGTACAAGATTATCCAATCAGTTTGATGTATTGTCCCTATCCTTAATTTACCAAATTGTTTCATTAAACTGCTAACGATCGTTTGCAAAATAGGAAATAAATTGAATTTACCCTATAACTGTCGATCTGCTGTTTTGTTTCTTGGTTATAAATGAAAAAAGTGAACTGGGCAGTGGAAGTTTGGGTCAACTGATATGATTTGCTGATATTTACAGCTATGAAAAGAAGTCTCAACGTAGTGCTGGTATTTAAAATACAATTAATGCTGTTAGAATACAGAGATATCGTTTAGATGTTAAATTTTTAAATTTATTATGTATGTTCATTTATACAAATATTTAATGCTAATTAGTTGTGTATTATTGGTTTTTAAAAGAATTAATTTCTAAATTATATTAGATTCAAACATATTGCAAAGACACATTATGCTCGATAAGTTGTAAATATATATCTGGAAATTTTACTTACCAGTAGTGTCTTCTAAACTATTAATGGGCTTAATTTTAATGCCTGGAATACCTGAAAAAATCATATTATATTTCTCTTAGTTGGTTAGGGATATTTAAAGGTGAATAACTATAAAATAGCTGATACATATATAGTAATACATAAAGGTGAAATGAAATGGGAACAAAACAAGGCATTTCTACAACTTATGAATAAGAAGTTCTCAATAAAATCCAAATCAATGTTTGATTCTTAAATGATTGAAATATGGAAAATCTTACCTCATGAAAGTGAGAGTCAATAATGAATTTGTTATTTAAACGCAAATTCAAGTGTACCGACTATTTCATCCCAAATATGGAATCAAAATGATCGAACAAATATGAATTTTTATCCACACACAGAAAAAACTGTAGAGTAATACCAATTCGAATTTTGTATTGATATAAAAACACATAAAATTGTGTGAATGATTACTTTAATTTGAATTTAAACTGAATCGAGCATTCTTACAAAATTCAAACAGATTTAGTTGAATCTTAACACAAATAATTCATAAAGTTTAAATCAATATGTTGCTCGTTGGCGAAGAAGGTTGTGATTTTCGGAACTCCCTAAATTTGATAAATAATTAATATATATTTTTAACTATTTAAATGAATTCTTACGTTAAATTATGGTAGGGTATGTTTGAAGTGGCTAAGAAATGCTTTTGTTTCCATAATAAAAGTGTAAAGGTGAAAATTATACAATTTCAATATGGTTGCCACGGTATTGATTTGTTTACATATAGTGCATATACATATAGTGGTCTGCTTATACATAGTACTCTTAAATAGGAATTCTTCTTGTTGGATTAAATTGGCATAGCCTACTAAATACCAAGTAAAATTTAAATTTTCTTTACTAATTGATAGAAAACATTGATTGCGGTTTATTATTTATCAAGCAATTTCAATATTTTTGTCTGAGCAGCTCAGGGGATGCAGCTTTCGCCTTCCGATGACGTGAACCGGGTAAGAATCCAAGCCATGGATGGGCGATACGAATTCCGAATCCGGTTTGCATCGACCACAGTTCTGACGGGAAATATCCTCAGAGGTAGACGGATCATGGGATAGGGTTCCGTCCCCTTACCATCAGACGAACCGTGGGAGGTTCTCGTAGTTTTCCCCTCCATGTAAGGCAAATGCGGGTTAGTTCCATCAAAAAGTCCTCCACGAGAGCGAATTTCTCCTAATACTTGATCCAGCAGTTCCCTTGTCTTCTGGATTGGGTTCAAAATTACAAATCTGCGGAATTAAATCTTAGTAGTCGTAAATCCAAAACTGGATCAGGGAAAAGAGTGCTCCAATCGCAATGAGTTGACCCAGGTTCAAACTCCAGCGATGGCTGGTCAAAACTAATGCGGCACCCGCTCGCACCGATAACAATGCTGACGTAAAATATCCTCAGTGGTAGACGGAACACGGGTTGGAATCCCCTAGCCGTTAAGCTACCTGTGGGAGGCTTTCGTGGTTTTCCTTTCCTTTTAAAGAAAATGCAGATTAGTTCCATCAAAAAGTTGCTCACGAAGACAAATTTCTCCCAATACTTGATCCTGGAGTTCCCTTGTCTTCTTCTGGATTGGTACCAAAATTTCTAGGCTGCAGAATTGAACATTAGTTGTCACAAACTAAATGATTAGGTCGGCTGTTCAATGACGGTTATAAAATAAAATAAAATCTTTTTGTAGGAATTGATTTGGAAAATTACTCATACAAACTGTATAAAATGCATGTATGTTTTCAATTGTAAAATAAGCATACTTACGTTCTCATAAGTTCCTTATATTCTCATAATATTCTCATATTTCAGTTCTCATAGTGTACGCTAAAACATAATGTTACTATCATAATGTATGCTAATGTATGCCCTACAGTGATCTATTTATTCTCAAAACTCTAAGATATAATAATGAGTTAGATACATAATTAATTGGGGGGGGGGGGAAAAGCATAGGCTTATACCACTTCCAACTCAAGTAAATAAAATTTAACACTTTCTGTAAATATCTTGAACGCAAATTATCATTTCGAAAACAAAGTATTTTAATAAGAATAAACCGTACTGAAACAGAATAACAATCTTTCTCGAACTTAGCAAACGAAAAAGTAAAAAAAAAGGGCTTCATTTATTTTTTTCCCCTTCTTTTCAAACAGCTGTGCTTTGACGCAGTACCTTCCGAAGTACTCATTTCACCGCTTCACGAAATTCCGTGCTTTTATAAAAAGAAAATATAACAAAAGAAAGAGTGACTGCCAAAAGTACTTTTATTAACTCTAGCTGAGAAAATTCTCGAACTTGTTTTAAACAAAGAGTTCCTTGGAGGTTCTTTTTTGTACCATGATATTAAAATTTTTGAAGTGAGATTTACAGGTGCTGAATACGCTAAAAGAAGGACTTGAAGCAAATACCCAAAATATAAGTGTGTACTGAAACTTTGTATTTGGAAGAAAAAGTAGCTAAATCGTTAATATATTCTTTAAAAAATCTTGGTTAAGCGCTAAGTTCCGAATTACGTTTAGCTTTTAAATATTATTAATTCTTAATATTTATATTTTAATTCCATGTGGCATCCAATTAATTTTAATAAACTAATTTTAATAATATCTTTAAGTATTCTGAGTTCAAATGTAAATACGCTTGAAAACTGTTAAATGAAGGTAGAATTTGAGGATAAAATGCATTTTATCTAAATTGCTGAATAAATTATGTTAACATGTGTTCAGAAGTTTTGCATAATAATGACAAGGGAACTTATACACAATCGAGAAAAAAGTATTTTTTTGATTTTATTTTATATTCGTCGTTGAGATTAAAAAGAGAACAATCTTTGCTTTTTGGTCAGAATTCAGCACCAAAAATGTCTATTGCCTAGAAACTTCGAGACATTTTTCTATTATCTACTAAAAAAACAGACTTCTCCGAGCATTGGCAATAGGTTATTTCGCTCTTTTTTATTGTCTTAAATCGGTTGCTTAGCAACTGAGTAGAATTAGGTATTACTCTCTTGAATTGTCTATGGTTATCTGAAATTACTCATTTGTGGTGGTGAAATAACCTGGCTGTTTTCTGGGCCTTCCACCAAATATATATGGCTTCCTATCTTACCCAATTTATGATCCAATCTTTCCGAAATTTTGTCTACAATCTTAATTTGAGAGTCAGGAATGTAAATATGCAAACAAAAATATGTTTATATAGAGAAAGTGCGCTTTCGGTCTGATTTTGTAATTTAATTAATAGTTAGCACTAATTAATTAGCATAGTTGAATTTACTAGTAGGAACCATTAAGATTTACACTTAGTATGTGAAAATCCGATCATTAGATTGAAAGTTATTCAGGGTGATATCGTTTTTCATTTTGCGAATCTGTGCACCTTTTTCCTTAGCTGCTACATTTTCAGGCTAATGACGCAAGGTTTCCAGGTTTGAGCTCTGCTGACTCCAACGAACAATTATTTTACCCTCCATATTCATTAGTAACCACGGACAACGAGCACCAACTCTCTCCCTTGTCGATAGATGGCAGCACTATTTCTTAAAGATTGTATTGATTTGACAAACAAATTGTATGAGTTTTTAACAACATCAAGGCAAGAATCGAAGTAAGTACTACGAGCATAACGTCAATTTACGATCAGTGTCCGCGTAGTTTAAAAGGAAATGAATTACAAGCAGATATATATTTTTATAGTCATGATAGTTTACGGGCATAAATTTATTTTTATGGTAAATAATTGGAGCACGTTTTGTCTGTCACTGACTGTAGTCTAGAGGCAAATGTATTAGAATGCAATATTAAGGACTATAGTTCATCTTTTACCATGATCAAACTATATAACTGAATTTTCCAACAAGAAATGAAATATCAAATAATATATTTGTCATAATTTAAATTTTTACTGAATAAGACATCTTCCAAACAATTTGAAAGTGACAGCTTGCACGACGTTTAGCTTATGACTTTAAAAAACGAAAGAAAAGCCTATAGACATATTACTAGAATTCAACGATCGAAAGCCATTAAGTGATCATTTCAAAGAGAGAGAAGCAATTTCTATATTCAGAATCCAAATCAACTTTGGCAAATCCACTTTACTGTTATTATCTCGAAATTGCAGAATACATCATGGAAAGTTGCATGGATGAAAACTAAATCTCTTTTGAAAAGACTGTCTGAATGAAATTCGGTCATTTTATATTCAAATCACATCCTCGCTCAGAAATTTAATTCGATTTCGATTTAGCAATTTCAAGATGAAAAATGATATGCCAAGGAGAGATTTCGTTCAAATAAATCAATCTGATAAATAGAGAGGAATTTTTCTTTAAAAAAAAATAAAGCAACTATAATCCAATACTGAATTATCATTAAGCTGGTTTGAATTATGTCTAATCTGTGTGACACAAGGTTCGATAAAAGGAATTAGTTAATAAATTTAATCACGTATTCTATGAAGCTGTTAATTTTCATTTTTATCTGATCATTTAAAGTTTGAATTTGAAAGGTTACATAATTAAAAAGAAGATTACCGCAAAGAATGTAATTTTCTGTTTAATGAATTGAAGGTCAAAAATGTTGTTTGTATTATCTCAAGAGTCAAAATGCTTGTCAATTCCATACAGTTCTTTATAAAGTGATTTTATTCAAAATAATTAAAGCAATTAAATACCAAAACCGAATTTTCATTTAGCTGGATTGCGGTTTCCAATCACTGCGACAGAAATTTTGATGTCCTTTACTGATTTAACCCACGTTGCAAATTTGTATTATTGCATTGCATGAAACCCAAAGAAAAGATCTCTTTTCAAAACGTTAAAGGTCAAAATAATTATAAGTACTTTAAATAAAGTGGTTCAAAAAAAGTTTTTCATACAGGCAAAAGCAGTTACTTAGGTTTTATAGGCAAAACTCATTAAAACTAGATGCAAGTCTCGCTATATTTTCGTAGCTACTAAATTAATGCGATTTGAGCTTTAAGTTTGTGACTGTGAACTACGTAATTTTTTTTCCAAAATTTTTTTT